ATTTTTTTTTTTTTTTTTTTTTTTTTTTTTTGTTTTGTCTTAGAATTTTATTATTTTAAAAAATTTTTTTTATTTCTACAAAAAAATATCTTTTTAAAAGGAAATTATTTTTTTTTTTTTTTTCTCAAATTATGAATTATTTAAAAAAATATGAACATAAAGTTTTAAGTGATACATTAAGATTTTTAGGTTTTACTTTTAAGTGGGGAATTCATGAAAATGGTTATTGGTTAACCAATTTAAATTATTCTTTTAATTATATTTTATCTAATTTAATTATAAAATACTTAAAGGAAAAAAGTAATAAAATTCAATAGATAATCGTTATAATATCACTATTTTTATTTATATATTAACGACATCTGTGTATATATATATATTTTTTTTTTTTTTTTAGATGTAAAGAGCGTTGTAGATATTGGTTGTGGGTATGGTGATTATGTAAATGAATTAAATTTTCATAAAATAAAGTCGGTTGGTATTGATGGAAACTTTAAACTTCTTAATTCTTTAAAAAATGGTAATTTTTTTTTACTTATATGTTTATATATTTATTTTTTTTAAAAAATTTTATTTTATTTTTTTTTTTAAGAAACAAAAGGACTTTATGCATTTCAACTTATCTACTATAAATATTTATAATAAATAATAATTGATATTTTTCTTTTTTCTTTTATAGAAAATTTATATATTCTTGATGCTACTAGTGAATATTTTATATCTGACTTAATGAATAAAATAAATAATTCAATAAAAAAGGAAAATGTAAAAAAAGATAAACTTTTAGAAAAAAATGAAATTATAAAAAAAGGAGGAAATGGTATACGAAGTTTTTTTAAATTTGATTATGCCTTATGTTTAAACGTTGGAGAATATATACCAAAGGTTTAAAATTGAAGAGATAAAAGAAAAAAATAATGAAATATATTTTACATATATATATATATATATATAAATAAATAAAATATACTGACATATATTATTATTTAATGATTTTTTTTTTTATAGAAAAAAGAAGAAATTTTTATAAAAAATATAGACAGAATAAATAGCAAAGGAGTAATTTTATCTTGGGATACACCTAACAATTTTAATATAGGAACTATAAATGAAAAAAAAGAAGATGAAATATTAGAAATATTTTCAAATAATTATAGTTATATTTATGATGAAAAGAATAGTAAAATATTCAGGGATAATTGTTCTAATGATTCACCTAAAAAATGTATATACATTTTTGAAAAAAAAAAAAATTAATATATTCTATTTTTATATATATATATTTTTCTTTTGTTCTCAAAATTTATCTTTTTTTATTTATAATATTTGAAAAATTTCACAAAAAAAAAACTCTCAATTTTTCTTTTTTATATACATGATTTTTTAAAGTGTAATTTATTGGTAATAATCAGTTGTATTTGTAAAAACTTAATTTGAATATAAAAATAAATATATGAAATAAAAATTTGAAAAATCCTTAGTACAATAAAAAATGTATCAAATAAATATCTCAAAAAAATTAAAAATATATTATAATATTTTATTAAAATATATAACAAAAGTAATACATAAACAGTAATCGAATCTAAAAATATATTTTAAAATTTAAAAAAAAATACAATATTATTTTATTTTTTTTTTTTTTGATACTTAAAAATATTTTTTTTTTCGATCTCTATAAAAATAAAAAAAAAAAAATTTTTTTTAATTTTTTATTAGTATTTTTAAAAAATGTTTTGCCACATTTAATATATAGTTAATATTTTGTATTCTCCAATTAATATTGATTATAAATTATTAAAATGTGGTCTATAAATTTATATTTTTGTGCATAAATATAATTAACAAATGATTTCGTATTGTTCGATAGATCTCTTTTTTTTTTTTTTTTTAATAGAAAATTTCTTTTGAAGAAATAGAGACATTAAAAAATTTATAAAATTTTTTCTTTTAGTAAAAATAAAATACAATAAAAAAAAAAAAAAAATAAATTATACACGAAAATAATTAAATAAAGAATATACCATTTTATGTATTTATTATTTCTTCATTAGAAATATAATCTTAAGATAAAATAATATAACAAATTTTAACATGCATTAATAAAAAAATGAAACAAAATTAAAAATAATTCATATACATTCTAATAGTTAAATTTTTATAATTTTAAAAAAAAAAAAACAAATAAGATTAAAATTTGTGATATCTATATAGTAGACGAAGTGAATTATATTTTTTTAAATGATAATAGAACAAAACAAGATATGATAAAATGAATGATAATGGAACAATTGAAAATAATATAGATACAATTAAAATAAATTCAAAAAGATTAAGAGAAAAAAAATGTGAACATAAAAATGATTTAGATGATAATATAATAAGAAATGATATTAAAGTTAACTTATATGTGAACAACATAAAGGATAAAGAAAAAAAGAATACTATTTTGAGAAATAGATGTAGTGAAAAAAAAAATGGTAAGGATTTAAGGACATACAAAAATACTAGAGTAATTAAAAAAAGTAATAAAAAACGTACTAAAGAAGAAAATAGTAAAAATATAAAAGGTAATAATGAAAACATAAAAAAAAAAAAAGAAAATTACAGTAATAAAAGTAAGAATGAAAGAAAAGAAAATAGAAAAAATGAAAATAATGTAAACACAGATAAAAAAAATAATATTAATAAGAAAAAACAAATTAATAAAAATTCTAAAATTAATAAAAAGAAAATTATGAAAGATAGTAATAGTAATACTAGAAATATTAAATTATCTTGTGAAAAAAACTTTTATAATACTTCTAAAAAAAAGGAGAAAGAAAAAGAAAAAGAAAAAGAAAAAGAAGAAAAAAGGGAAAGGGTGAGAGAAAAAGAAAAACAAAGCAAAAATGTTTGTGGTAAAAATGTTTTTGTAAAGTTATCTGATATAAAGAAAAAATTAAGTCAATATACAAAAAAAAAAAAAAAAGAAAAAGAAATAATCGAAGTAATAAGTGATAAAGAATATGAAATATATACAAGTGAGAATAAAAAAAAAAAAAAAATTAAAGTAAGTTATAATAAAAATACTAAAAATATAAGTGAAGAAAATATAAATGGTTGTAGAATTAAAAATAATGAAAATAAAAACAAAAATCAAAAGGATATATTTAATACTTTTGAAATAAATGGAATAGAAATTAAGAATAATAAATATATTTGCAAATTTAAAGATAAATTAAATAAAACTCATAAATATTTTTTTCCAATATATAAATATGGAGATGAAAAAACTGCAAAAAAAAAAGCTATTTTACTAAAATTTCACATGTATTCTTGCTTGTATTGTCAGAATGGGATACTTTGTAATTTTGTAGAAAATTATATATCATAATATAATTTACATTTTTTTTTTTTTTTTTCAAAAGTTTATGTTAATGAATCTTCAAATATCAGTTGCCCTACCTTTAATTACGTTGGAAATTAACTTTTTTTTTTTTTTTTTTTTTTTTTAACAAATATATTTTTTCTTACAAAAATCAAAAATAATATTTATTTGAAAATATTTGTTTTTAATTATTTATATATGTAAATATATAAAGATATTTCATTAAACTTCTTTTTTATATTATTTGAACTTTTATTATTTATATAATTGATAAAATAAAAATTCATTGTAAATATAGTATCCCTTTTACTTTACCTATGTTTTTCTTTAACTTATAAAGGTTATGTTTACTTTATTTGATAATTTTTTTTTTTTATTAAAAACTAGTCATTATTATTATATATATGTATATATATTTTTCCTAAATATAGCATTTATTATTAATATTATTCAAACCTATCTATAATTACCACTGTCTTATATATTTTTTTTTTAATTCTAAAAAATATAATAATCATAATGAGTGTAGTTCAAAAATTTTATGATTGTTATTTAATTTTTTCTATTGTTTTTATATATTATTATTTATTTTTGAATGTTTTTTTATTCCATTTTATTATTATTTATTTTTTTTTTTTTTTTTGCTACATTTTACTTCTAGTTTTTTTTTGATTCTTTTTTTCTTAATTTCAAAATTAATGTCACATTTTTAATGAAAATTTGTCCATCAAAAGAATCGGCCTAAGTACATTTGTTTTGTTCATATCGCAAATTTCACCATTGCATATAATTTCATCAATTATAAAATGGGTTTTATCTATATTGAACATAATATCTAATTCACATACATTTTCATAATATTTATCGAGAATTTCTATTATATTATGAATCATCTCAAGGATAGCAAATTCATTAACATCTTTATTTGTAACACCAACAATTAAATATAAACTAGCATATCTAAATGAAAAAAAAAATAAAAAATAACAAAAAATAAGGATATATATATATATATATTAAATATTTTGTTTTTTTAAAAGTATATATTTTAATGATTTAGTAATATAAAAAAATATATTGGTGTAATAATTTTTTTTTTTTTTTTTTATCTATATAATTTTCATTTAAAAAGATATAAAAAAGTAAAAAAAAAAAATTATAATTTAACCTTCTATATATAATTTTATATTCTCTATATTGTAAAAATGAACATTGATAATCAACTCTTGATAAACATTTTCTAATTAATTCTCCTTCCAATATTGTTTTTTCTTCAATACTTAAATTATTGTAATACTGACTTAATCTTGTTTGCCCTTGCTTATTTACCATTAATAGAAATTCAATCATTTTTTCTCTTTTTTTCTTTTTTTTTTATATCATTTATATAAAAATATTAAAGATAAAAATAATTTAAAAACAAAATAAAATTGTATATTAAAATATTATAAAAAAAAATAACATAAAATAATAATATATATTAATTGAAATCTTTTTTTTTTTTTTTTTTTTTTTTTTTTTTT